TAAATAACTTACAAGCAAATTTACATAGTAAATGGGTGGTTTGAACTCAGGTCTGTATAACTCTACATACTAGGGTCTTTCCCATATAATATACTAGATGAACAACAAAGCAACAGAATTGTTGTTTGGTTGAAGTTTTACTCGTCAAAGATTTATTCAGCTACTACCTCTACTACTACCAATAATTTTTAATAATAATTACAACAATAAATGGTATGTTTCCCATTTTTCCACCAAAAAGAATAATCTTCCAAAACAGAAAGTCCATAATAAGCTCTAAGAGAAATTAAATGCAAAACTGTCAGCGCTAATTCTATCAAAACTCTAAAATAGATTATGTATATGACTTCTGTGTATTTAAAAAGACATGAGATAAGAAGTTATTACTCAGAGTATAAATGGATTAAAAAAGAACAAAAGCAGTATTTCTTTTTCTTTTGTTTAACAATAGGATTATGGGGTACTGTAAAGTTATGGATGATCATACTGCAATATATAAATGTATCAAATCAACATGCTGTATACCTTAAACACACACAATGTTACATGTCAGTTATATCTCAAGAAAAATATAAGTAAACAAACAAGCAAACAAAGGTTATGGGGTGCTGTCAGGAAGATACCAGAGATACATTTGCCTGGATTTCAAAACACATCTGACAAAATGAAGCAACTGACAAAGGATTAACCTCCAAAATTTACAAGCAGCTCATGCAGCTCAATATCAAAAAAACAAACAACCCAATCCAAAAATGGGCAGAAGACTTAAATAGACATTTCTCCAGAGAAGATATACAGATTTTCAACAAACACATGAAAGAATGCTCAACATCATTAATCACTAGAGAAATGCAAATCAAAACTACAATGAGATATCACCTCACACCAGTCAGAATGGCCATCATCAAAAAATCTACAAACAATAAATGCTGGAGAAGCTGTGGAGAAAAGGGAACCCTCTTGTACTGTTGGTGGGAATGTAAATTGATACAGCCACTATGGAAAACAGTATGGAGGTTCCTTAAAAAACTAAAAATAGAACTACCATATGACTCAGCAATTCCACTACTGGGTATATACCCTGAGAAAACCATAATTCAAAAAGTGTCATGTACCACAATGTTCATTGTAGCTCTATTTACAATAGCCAGGACACGGAAGCAACCTAAGTGTCCATCAACAGATGAATGGATAAAGAAGATGTGGCACATATACACAATGAAATACTACTCAGCCATAAAAAGAAACGAAACTGAGTTATGTGTAGTGAGGTGGATGGACCTAGAGTCTGTCATACAGAGTGAAGTAAGTCAGAAAGAGAAAAACAAATACTGTACGCTAACACATATATATGGAATCTAAAATAAAAAAAGGTCATGAAGAACCTAGGGGCAGGATGGGAATAAAGACACAGATCTACTAGAGAATGAACTTTTGGACACGGGGAGGGGGAAGGGTAAGCTGGGACAAAGTGAGAGAGTGGCATGTATATATATACACTACCAAATGTAAAACAGATAGCTAGTGGGAAGCAGCCGCATAGCACAGGGAGATCAGTTCGGTGCTTTGTGACCACCTAGAGGGGTGGGATAGGGAGGGTGGGAGGGAGGGAGACGCAAGAGGGAAGAGATATGGGGATATATGTATACGTATAGCTGATTGACTTTGTTATAAAGCGGAAACTAACACAACACTGTAAAGCAATTATACTCCAATAAAGATGTTAAAAAGAAAATCTGACAGTTTCATCATCATAAGTTTTGTAGAACTTATCCTCTCTACCGTATAAGGCAAGACCCTACTGTTCCAAATGCCCACCTGTTTTTATCCATTAATCACACTCCACAACATGCCTTTCATTCCTGAACCAAGTGGAAAACTTATGAAACCCTGAAACTGCTACAAACTCTTAAAATTCTAGGAATGAATTTTGTTTGAAAATACTGAGTGAAACTGATTCCTTTTACTTATAGAAATAAAAACCAACAGGTTCGTGGGCAGGCACTGAAAACACATGAGGAGAGTTCAGCAGAAACAGTGTTATTTATAAAAATGATCTGAAATTATGTATTCGTTAAACACATCCTTAATATAAACATTGCCCTCATCCTCATGAACCATAACAAAAGAAAAAGGTATAAAAGGCCGAAATGTTTTGCTTGAGGTATTCAGGTTGAAATATTTACTTTTGATAGGTGCGGTATGAATATCAAAAGCCAAAACCTCAAAGATGTAGGAAACTCAGTCAAATCAGGAATATATCATAACACACTATTTTAAAATTTTCATTCAATCAAAAGTGATTGAATACCTAGCACTACACATAGTATATTTATTGTTATAATGTATACATACAGTACTTATTGTTGTAATTATTATTAAAAAATAGACAAGTAAGGGGCTTCCCTGGTGGCACAGCAGTTAAGAATCCACCTGTCAATGCAGGGGACACAGGTTCGATCCCTGGTCCGGGAAGATCCCACATGCCACGAAGCAACTAAGCCCTGCGCAACTGCTGAGCCTGCGTGCCACAACTACTCAATGCCGGGCACCGAGAGCCCGTGCTCCACAACAAGAGAAGCCAGAGCAATGAGAAGCCTGCACCGCAGCGAAGAGTCGCCCCCGCTTGCAGCAACTAGAGAAAGCTCACGCGCAACAGCGAAGACCCAACGCAGCCAAAAATAAATAAATAAAATAAATTAAAAAAAAAATAGACAAGTAAGAAATAAACTCTTGTATCAAGAAGTATACTCTTGTGTCCTACATTTCTGGTTGACTTATTTGTTTTTCCCTTAAATTACAGGTATCACATTACAAATTTAAAGTTATAACTTACTTCTGAAAAGAAAAAGTATTTCTGAATTAAAACTTTATCAAAAAAAGATATCCTAAGAAATATTTTTAATTATCAGATATGAATTTCCCTATTTTAAGTAGATGTCTATTTTTTTTATGTTCAGGAAATGCTACTTCCAAAGAAACTGAAGTCTACTACTGCATTGAACTACTTTTCACCACTAGATTAAATTAACAAAGAGCACTGCAGAATTTCCTCCCCGAGATGTCTTAAGACAGTTTCTGCTTTCTTTGTCAAAAAAGTTTTAGACAAAGACCATTGTTCTTCTTATCCAAGGCAGTAAATATAATTTTATTTCCCTTGCCTGAAAGACTGAAAATGTGTATAAAATGCTTACCACAGTGCCTGCCTGACGCATCAGGAGTATTCCATAAGTCAATTCTCTTTTCCTTCCAATAATTAATGTCAAAATTCATTCTCATAGTGCTTTCCAGCATGTTATATTATTAGGGTAACAATATTTACACCTTTTAAGGCTTTTACAACATGACTCCTGAACCTGATATCATTTCATTTTTCTTTAAATCGAACTGCTCCCTGTTGTTTTCACTGGCATTTCCTATTGCCTGTCACTTGGAATAAATGCAACATTTGACTTGAACGTGTATTTCTTTGCCGGCATTCTAGCTTGTCTATATTTCCAGGCAATCATGCTGAGATACACTGGACACAGATTCAACAGTGGTTGGTGGGGAGTGAAATAGGGTGTTTCAAAACGAACCTATATACTAGAGCCCCTGATCCTTCAACTGATGCTATGTATACTGAACAACAAATATTAATGGAATTTTCCCAGAAATAAATGTCTCATGTCAGTTTGAGGCAGAAAGGGAGACAATTTATTCTAAGAGTCTTAACTATGTTCCTACAGAAAGAATCTTACATCACGGAGACAAGATATCTCACTACTGATTCTGTCTTATTCTTCCTCTCTGTTTCCACCACTGCTCATGAAAGACTACATATTACACCAGAATATGATCACTCTTGATAGCTCTACTCTGGGATAAAGTCTGATTGATGCCTTACTGACATAATCTCTCATTCCATGAAAGGCATTATAATCTACACTTTGTTTTCAACATTAAAAATAGATATGCCTCAACATTACAAAAAGCTCAGGAGGATAAAGTAGGTACCATCACAATACAGCATATTATCCTAATCCCTGTCTTTTTCCTTATAGACCTGGTCACCGCATAATAAGAGTAAATTATACCAGTAACTGCTGACAAATTAAAAATAAAACTCAATCTTAAAACACATTTAATAATATAGCACAGATAGAAATTAGGTAATTTTATGAAACAAATGACTCATTTGTATTATATAAATGTCAAAGATGATCTGTTTGAAATTATTTCTTGTGTTTTTCAACTAAAAAACTCTAGTTATATATAAAAGAAAGTCATTTTCTCAAACCAAACATGGTAGTACTTCACTTGTCCTCTATCTTTAGAGAAGGTATTTCACAGAAGTGAATTTTCCAAACAACAGTTTATCCATTTCAGCGCCCAAACTCATTTAGGATAGAAATGCTTTACTTCCCCACCAATGTAATGCAGGTGGTGCCCAGTATAGTGAACCAAATTTAAGCACCTGTCAATGGTTAAGGTCGCCCTCACTGTGAATATGCAGAAGGTTACTGTGGTATCTCTAGGACAGCAATAGCCCCTGGGGCAGGAACAAATATAAAGCAATTTGCTCCTATTCTGAATAAGACCCCATGATGACAAGGTCTTATATCGGGAGTGTTATGAGTTTTCCTGTCCTTTATTAAAAACTCTCCATCCCTCCCTGTTTCTAGAGTGTCCTTTACCCAAGTTCTAAATTACTTCTTCTAAACTGTGACTGACAAACCAGATAACCATGTAGATATTAATTTATCAAGAGCAGAAATAAACAAATTGGGGCAAGAGTCTCCATACATTAGCCTCAGTGCACAGTGTGGTTTTAAGTTTAGTCACTCAGTGTGTATTTCCAATTATTTCCTAGTTCTTGATTTTATCAGATGGTTGTGTTTTCTGGGAAAATGACTGACAAATAAGTTATTACTCTATAGCAATTATTCTTTTCATACCTTCTTATCCAATCCATTTTAAAAATGTCACCATTAGTGAGCAAAATCCATCATCAGACTTACCTGAGGCACGCCTCGTAAATCGGTTTATTACTGGAGCTGAAAGAGAAAAGCAGAATAATATGATTAGATAAAATTTTAATTTATCCAAAACCCTGAAAACGACCTAAATTGTTAAGTGATCCCATAAATTAAATAGGAGAAAGATATGAATGAATAAATAATGCAAGAAGAAAAACCATTAATATATGAAAATTAAATGTTTAAATTCACTAGTAGCCAAGGAAATATAAATTAAAATCAATATTTCACCTGTTAAATTAGTCCCCCCAACACACTTTAAATGAAAATCCCTAGTTATGTGTGGCTGAAACTACTTAACTGGGACAGTGCCAATCTATATAATATTTTTGTAAACAATTTGACAGTTACATCTAGTGTCATAAAAGGTGTGTCTCCTTTAAGAGAGTAACTCTACTTTGAAGAGATTTATCCTAAAGAAGTATTACTAGAGAAGGAAAAAGATACACGTGTGTGTGCACACACACATCTATTCAACAGCATTACTTTTACAGTGAAAATATTTGGAAACAAAACTAAAAATGCTCACATATACTGATATCATTATTAGGTAAAGGATGGTATATTTGTGGTTTTGACAATTTTTGTGCAACCCAAAGGTCTATGATATGCAAGTCTATCTGTGGAAGGCTGCAATTTCAGGCTGGTGTATGGGAGTGCATTGCTCAGCTGGTAAGCCCGCCCTTGGTCCACGCCCTGCATTCAACTTAGCTCTGTTGTTTCTTCTTGGTTTTGCTTACAGATACCTTACAGTTATCTCAAGACATTAGGTTTTTAAAAATTTTATTTCTTGAGAGAAGCAGGTAAGTTCACAGTTCATATTATATACAGAAAGGACATCATGTATTACACTGTATATTTTAGTAACAGGATGTCATGGGTCTACTATGATACTTTTTAATACTTCAATACTTTTAAAACAGTAATTAAAAAGACTGTTTACACTATGGAAATAGGTCAAGTAAAAAAAGAAGACTTAAAATTTTTGCCAGCATTATGGTTATAGAGCACAAAAAATAGAGATGCTTTGGAATAAGTACTAGAAGAAAACTGTCAGATGTTTCACACTAATCCTTGCAACCATTCTATTAAGTAGCAGAACCGCAACATTACTGATGACAAGATTTTACAGTAAGGCTCAGAGATATGGATTAGTTTGCTTTAGATCACATAGTCACCCTGTGGCAGAGCTTGAGAATTCCAACCTAGGCACTTCTAGCACCAAAATGTTGCCCCACCAAGAACAGAAAGCAAAAATACTGACGCCTGAAATCACCACCTAACAGGTAAATATTTCCTTCCATATTGATCTCCATTGTTACTAAGGATTAACTGTGTGAAATCATTCACAAACCCAATTATTAAAACACTATAATTTATAGCAAAATTATATATTCTAAACTGAGCAAGAGAAAATTCCCACTACTTATATACCAAAATAATTCAGCCACATAGCTGCAAAGTCACAAATTACTTATATAAAAACCTTTCATCAGGCAAAGTGTAGTTATATTTTATGTATCGCATGCACAAAAAAACTTCCATCAGTTTTCTTGGACACCTTCAACCCCCTTTTGCACAACTCCTTCAGAGCCTAGTCTAAAAAAAGCCTCCCCAGCAAGCTACAAGGACAGGGGAAACTTCAACCACAGGAATGCAGAAAAGATAGTGCTGGCTGCCCAAGGCAAGATGAAGGTAAAAAGCAGATCTCAGCCTTGGGGCAAAAAACAGAGCAGACACTCTCCTCCCCCTCTAGTCTCTCTAGACAAGGAAATCACAGCACTGTGAGCTTCTGGTTTGAAATGCTGGGGCATCTTTGTTCCCTTGCGGTCCCTTAGGCTTCTATGCCTTTTTTTTTTTTTTTGGCCACACTGCACGGTTTGTTGGATCTTAGTTCCCTGACCAGGGATTGAACCCAGCCCTCAGCTGCGAAAGCACGGAGTCCTAACCACTGGACTGCCGGCGAATTCCCTGTGTCTTTCTGAAGTGTTTAAGGCAGAGATTTTCAACGAAGTGGCATCACCACCTAGGAGGTGTATTCTAAAGCTGTGGGAGCAATTTTTTCAACTGTCACAATAATTCAGAAGACATCCTTGGCATCTGACAGACCACGTACAGGACAATCCTATACAACAAAGAACTGTCATGAATCCCAAAACTTTTGTCCTGCACTACTTTCACATATCCCACTGGACATTCATGTTGGCAAACAAGTCAATTTATAACCACCTGAGCCTAAATTCTAACACTGTTTATACATAAATACGATTATTATATGCAGTTTTAATATGCATCAGATTTTCTACAACACAAATACAACATAAATCAAAGGAATTTGGGGGTTTTGGGGGGTATTTTTGTTTTGTTTGGAATTTTACTAATAGATGTCCATCATTTCAAAAAATCATGTCACTGCTGTATCACTTGTGGTATCTGAATAACCAGTACAATACACCTGATCAGACTACATCTGCAGCTTTCATATTCTTAGTGATTCTACATGTAAGTGGGAGACTCTAACTGCATTATGTCTTCTTGTGTACATGTAAGCATATACCTGCTGAAATACATTTTACTTACTATAAATTAATTGCCTTATTTCTCCTTTATATTTTTGCTAGAAATTATATCAATTTTTAAATTGTGCGTAGAGAAGTTCTATGACTTTGACTTCCATTTCCCAATAGTAAATGGGGCACAGGACTGGGCAGTTAAGAAGATGGGGGCACCAGGCATGTGGTACCCAGTAGTTAAGGTAAACACTGGGTTTTGACAAAATTACCAAAACTGCAATCCCTCAAAACATATCCCTTCATAACCACTTGCAGGGATGAAACACAAGTATTTCCTGTACCAACTCTTGGCAAGCTAACAGTAACCTTCACAATTTTTCTAGACTTTTTAGTTTAGTTACCAAAATGGGGAAGAAGATTGAGATTCAGGGTGGAGACTCTGCTGCAAGTAAAGCAATGTGCAGCTGGGCATGGGGTGCCTGGTGTTTTCTCTCTCAGGAACCCAAGTACAGGGAAGGGGAGCAGGAGGAAGGTGAGGAAGGACGCACCACCGGGCGGCGACTGGGGTCAAGAGGCGTGGGCTCCACTGCTGGCCCCATCGCCTTCCGGGAAAGCTTGGATGAATCGTATAACTTTGACCTAAATCCTCAATTTAAAAAACATGCAAGGTAAGATCTGCCCTCCTTAATTCAAGGGGAGTTTTATGAAAAAATAAATAAACATCTTTGAAAGTGCCTGTAAACTATAAATTCCTATTCAAATATAAGAGATTGATGTTTACTATAAGCTAATATTACCAATCTTAACATTACATTTTTTGCATATACAAAGTAAACAGCAGCACAAATTCACAAAAAAGTTAATAGATGATGCTTTAAAATGTGCAAAGTCAAATTAGGTTTCCTCAGACTCTTGGTTTCCACCTTTATATTTTCCTATTCTATAGATATTCTGTAAGTGTATTCATACACACACACACACACACACACACACACACACACACACATATTAGGAGAATATAGAAAGAAAAATATAGCAAACGTATTATTTGCCCGGAGAAACAAATATGATTTAAGAATATACTAAATGCCCCTAACATTTTAAGGAGATATAACCTAAGATCTTAATGAATCCTAAGGAAAAATACAGAAATGTTTATGTAGGTTTGACTTTCTCCCAAGCGCCATTCCAGCGCAATACGGAGAGTCCCGTGTTCCTATGAATGTCTTTGCGCTTGTCTATCCAGAGATCCCATCAGTTCCCAAACTAGACGGGTCTTAATTCCTCAGCCCCCAGAAGTATAACTGATTCAAGTCTTCTTTAATCCTGGAGTATCCTTACAGGAAAAACTCTCTACTACTTGAGGTGGCTGAATGAGCCTCTCTGTTCCTAGCAGTGAAAACAGCCTCCCGCACCTGTGACTGGAGTTTCTCGGAGCCAGCAGGACCTGCTTATCTTCTCACCTCTTTATGCCTGAAGCCCAAGATAAGCAGTGCCTGGTAGATAAGAGGCACTGAGTCAACAGCTGTGGCGTGAATCAATCAACTCTGTGAAGTAAACAGAGCAAGTCTCCTTGTCCCACTTATTCCACTGTTTATTGGATGTGGATGCCGGGCACTGGGAATGTGACAGAGTCCCTGCCTCTGAAGAGCTTGACCAAGTCGGGGGTATTTTCACATACTATGACTGCAAGGGCATATGCCACGCACGCAGCTGCCCTAACAGAAAAATTTAGGTAAAAAGAGAAGTTCCGTAGAAAACTAGAAAACGTAAGAAATTATATAAAAACAAAAGCAGTCAATTGAAAGCATGAACCAATGAGTTTGGCCTTCAGAAAGGAAAGCCAGGTTGATAGTCATGCAGATAGCTTGCACCTCTGAGCATAATGCTGGGAGAGAAGTTCCAGGTTAAAGAAATAAGAGCCCTGAGTTGTGATTTATGGTCATTAAACACACACACACACACACACACACACACACACACACACACACAC